CCCCGCGAGAATGACCCGTCGCGTTGAGGCTTCGCACCCCTTCGTGGTCACTTTGGAGACCTGCAGAATATCTCTTTCCAAAGACTCGTTCATCCAACGAACAGCGAGGCTCTGGAACACATACATTGCCAAGGAAGGTGTTCCCCGAGGCATATAACCTCCAGAAATCTAAGAAGAACACCAATTCCTACCTCATTTCCCTTGGTTCTCACGATGTTCTCTGAACATTACAGGATATCCTATTTCGTGGGAACCAGAACATAAAAAAAATACCTCTCCATTAGGATTTCCGGGCGAAAGGTACCTACTATCTCTTGTCCTTGATGCTCGACCTAATTCAGCAGAACCATCCAGCAGCAGAATACTGTTCTCATGTATGGGATTCAGTACCCAAACATACGCTGATGACCTTAGATTCCATCCAAAGATTTCATTCATTCGTCTGGTGGGTGATGCCTCACTCACTAATCCTTTGACCTCATTAGAACACCTTAGCAAAGCCTTATACTTTCCTATAGATTCTTTCATGCACGCGGGAAATGTTCCTCAGAAATCCCTGCTATAATTCCATCACTAGCAATACCAGTCAAACGAACTCGGCAGGCCCAGTCAGTACATCCCTTCGTTATTAATCTTGAAAAACGACGAACAACACTCTACCAAAACTCGTTCGTCCATAGAACGGCGAAGCTTTGGAATTCTTTGCCAATGGAAATATTCCCAAGAACTTATATCCTCCCAAAGTTTAAAAAAAAGTTCAACACAATATACAGAGAAGTGCACAAAAAACGGCTAGGATTGTAACTTTTGAATTATTCTAGATAAGGTTTTGAAAATTGGTGGGTAGCAAGTATACCAAGTTGCTCATTAATTGATGAAACAATGTTTCTTCTATCACCTCCAGTTTCACCGGAAGCGACCCCAACTTTCGATTTTTGAATGGAACACCCTGTATTGTATTCCATAATCGGTTAGGGATTATCACGACGAATTCGACGATACCGGGTTTAATAAGGTTATTTCAAACGATTACGAAGATATTTGCGTTCGAAGTTTCCATATGCTCAATGGGTGTGACTTTGCAATATCAAAACTTCTTTCTCTGTCACACTCATTGACCATATGGAAACTTAAAACGCGAATATCTGCGTAATCGTTCGAAATAACCCTACCAAACCCGGTATCGATGAATTCGTTATGACAATCCCTAACCGATTATGGAATACAATACAGGGTGTCCCATTTAAAAATCAAAAGTTGGGGTCGTTTCCGGTGAAACCGGAAGTGATAGAAGACAAATTGTTTCATCAATTAATGAGTAATTTGGTATACTAGCAGCTCACCAATTTTCAAGACCCCATTTCGAATAATTCAAAAGTTACAGTTCTGGCCGTTTTTTGTGCACTTCTCTGTATACCTCCTCTCTTTATCCTTCCTGGGTACGCCCGATGTGCTACGAACATTATAGGAATTTCCTTTCGTGCGCTCCAAGAAATAAAAAACAGCACAAGAGGTATGCAAATAATTTCCAAAACTAACCGAAGATAAATATTATGTGATTCATATGCCTATGTTCATAATCATTCCATGAAAGCTTTTCGGTCTACGGCCCTGTTTTCTCCTGAATACAATATAATACCATTGTGGCACGTTGTTTATTCCCAAGGAACGTATTTGTCAACTGATAAACGAAGAATTGGTATTATTTAAACATAAAGGTAACACTATCTAGAGTACACAAGAAGGTGTGTGCTCAAGCAGAATGGAGAGTGAGAAGAGGCCATTCAACAACATTATTTTTGTTACTGATCAAATACGGAAACACTTATCAGTAGTAAGTGATAAAGTTATTTCGTATTATTTACACAGGTTTTGATAGTTCACAAAAATTCTCGGCAAACATTCAAAGCGCGCGCGTACCTTCTGTCATAAACCTTTAAAAATCCATTAAATTATTATTCCTGTGCAAAAATGTTTTCTCGGCAACTATGTCTGAGAAGTGATCACTTACCGGACGCTATTTCGTCGAGAAAGTAGCTTTTTTCCTGCCTAGTCCAGGAAGTATACGTACTTCCCGTGTTTCTACTCATCATACGTAAAATACAAAGTCCATAGTTAAAAGTATATCTATACTTCCCCAATATTATAATCACAACACAGAAAACTGAAATTTTTTTGTAAATTCAACGAAATCTGAGTGTCATATATCCACAACCAGATATTTTGTCACCGCAACAAATGGTTTTTGTCAGTTTTCGATTCAAAATTCATCTGATGTAATTTATTAATGATTCAAATTAACAGCAGAAATTGATTGAATAAACAAAGACTATTTTGTTCCTATAATACGATATATCTGCTCTCATTATTAGGAACTCATTTAAATTCACAAAAATATCCACGTTAGTGACACTCTATAATGCATTTGTACGTAGTATTCTGGAATATGGTGCCATAATATGGTCTCCCTATTATTCAGTTCATAAAAATGAAATTGAAAAGGTACAGAAAAAATTCTTAAGATTTCTGTATTACAAAAAGCATGGTGAATATATTTTCAATCTCAGTTATCATACTTCCTTGAATGAATTTAAATTCACAACTTTAGAATTTAGAAGAAAAGTTGCTACTATAGTATTTTTCTTCAAGCTACTGCATAATGAAGTAGATAATCCACAATTGTTGACACAAATTTGCCTGAACTGCAGTACATATTTCAATAATAGAAGAAGAGATATATTTGTTCTGCCTAAACCTCGAACCAACCTAGGTTTAAATTCCCCACTATACAATATGTGTTCTCTTGCAAATTGTTTGAGGAATATAGATTTCTATGTTAAATGCAATGAAAAAACGTTCAGAAAAAAAAATTGAAATTGAGATATCATCTTTAAAAGTAAATGAGAGTTGTAACTGACAGCCAATTTAAATGAAAAAAGTCCATTTGTCAATTTCAACTAAATGTGTCTCTCAAATTGATTGTGATTTAGGTCATTTGGAGTTAATTTAGTTTAGGCCATCGTATTATTTTGAGAATGGTGATTTACTTAGTTTTAATATTGTAATCGATTATTGGAACTGCCTGTTCTGTAGATTACTTAAGAAATAAAATAAAATAAAAAAAAATGAACAGATTCTGTTAATTGAAATCATCATATTATTTTATTCAAGTGACAAAATTTCAGTTTCTCAGAGAGCGAATATGTTGAAATAACAAAATATATTCTTATTCGATCAACAAAATTGTATCTAGAGTTGACAAAATATTTGGTGATTAATATTTAAAAAAATCCAATAACTGAATTTCAAAACTAAGAGAAATTAGAGATCAATTTCCTCAGTTGATTCAAGACTATTAGTTTGTATATTTTGTTGATTTCGCAATATTGTGTTCAATTTAACAAAAAAAAACGACAAAACTTTTTTTCTACTACTGCTATGAAAAGTAGCGCATTTCTCATAGCTTGCTTACTTTCAAAACTATGTATTGCCCATACTGTGAGAAATATTTTTTCTCACGGCACTTTGCCAACACCACATACATTTCCATGGATAATCAACAAAAATCGATCGAAACTTGGCTGCTGTTCAGCTTTGAATAGTTGTCACAACTGTCAGAAGAAGTTTTTCAAATTCTTTATGGTAGTTCTCAATAATGCTTTTGATAGAAATCGCATTTTCCATCAAATATTGTTCCAACAATTCATAATAAATAATATGATGTATATACCGAGATGTGACGATTTGATATATACATCGCCAGAAAAAGCTGCGAAAGTTGGATTTTTAGGGAAATTTCAAGAAAAAAGTATGAATTGGCATGTACAGGGTGATTCACCATAAATGTCCCCCCCTCTCGCTCACTCATTTTTTAACCAATTTGAAATTTTGAAAAATCATCCAGAATGATTTTTTAGAAATTTTTTTCCTGTTGCATCAAAAAATACAGGGTACTCGGAACGAACGATATCCAGAGTACTACTTGATTTTTTCATATGGAACACCCTGTATTCCATTGTATTTTTAGATTCTCCCTGAAGAGCTGATTTCATCAATATATCATACTTGGGGTCTAGCGGGAATGATTACAAAGATATAGGGTGTTCAAAATCGAGATTTTTCAACTTTGGTATTTTTTTGTGTCGAAACTATTCATTATTGGTCAAAATGGCTTCAAACTCTCCATCTCAACTTTTGATTTACTATCTACTGACATTTAATTGGAACATATACAGTGTGGTTCAAGATTCAGAATTCTGATCACCCTGTATCTGTTCCAATTATTAAATGTCAGTAGATAGTGAATCGGAAGTTGAGATACGGACATGAAAGCCGTTCTGACCGATAATGAATAGTTTCGTCACAGAAAAATCCTAAAGTTGAAAAATCTCGATTTTGAACACCTTATATCCCTGTAATCATTTTCGCGAGACCCCAAATGTGATACATTGATGAAATCAGCTCTTTAGGGAGAATCTGAAAATACAATGAAAAATAGGGTGTTTCTTTTGAAAAAAGCAAATAGTACCCTGTAGATCGTTTGTTCCGAGCACCCTGTATTTACTGATGCAACGGGAAAAAACTTTCAGAAAAATCATTTTGGATGATTTTTCAAATTTTTAAATCGGTTGAAAAATAAGTGAGCTAGAGGGGGGGACATTTATGGTGAATCACCCTGTACGAAAAATTTATGGAATCTAAAAAAATACAGAAATAAATTCTTTTTCGGAAAGTGTACTGATTTGAAATACTTTGAGGAACTAGGAAAGGCGGTCTCTCTTTGGTCACAATATTCAATGTGGCATAGTGCCACATTATAAAATAAATACCAATAAGTTACATTACTCGGATTCTTTGAATAAGAGCAGTTGTAGAAAAAGTATAGTGTGCAGGCATTCAGGCTCGTGTCACAAACTTTCGCACTCGTGAGAAAAGTTGAACTTTTCCGACTTGTTGCACAATATACTATTTCTGTGTAAAATCTCATCTTTTCTTTGCAGGGCCCTCCACATGAAAGAGCACCCCGACTACAAATACCGCCCCCGCAGGAAACCCAAACCCCTCATGAAAAAAGAACCCAAGTACGGCTTCTCCATCTCCCCCCTCCTTTCCCCCGGTCACCACGACACCGCCCCCTTGCACCGCGCCATGCTGCCCCCCAGCGGCCTTCCCCACCTCCTCAACCACGATCCCGACCACCTCAAGCTACCCCGCAGCCTCTTTCCCCCGCTGCCCTACCTCTACCATCCCTTCAGGCACCCCGACGAGTCCAAGTTGGCTGCGGAGCTGGCGCTGCTCTACAGCAACAACCCCATCTACCACCCTGGCCTCAACTGGCCCTCCATGGGCAACCTGCCAGGTAACATTCTGAATCAAAGATCAATGGGAACAAGCAAAGTTCAAGGTTATCTCCCCAGTTAGAACACTAATATTGGTTGAAAAGGAATATTCTCAGATAAATTATGAACATACAAAAATGGATATATATTTATATAAAGCAATACATTGGGAATTCGCATTCTCTATGTGATGAGAATATTTACTCTTTTTCAGTTGATTCAATAGAAAACAACTACTTTCCTGGCTATATGACACGACGAACATTGAATTATATCTATTGAACACACACGATAAGAGTTTGAAAATAAAATATAAAAACTTCTGAAATTGAGAATTTGCATTCTCCTTCAGATAAAAATATGTATATGTACACATCATTCTGAATATTCAACAGAAAACAACTACTTTCCTGGCTATTTGCCTCGTCGAACATTGAATTATATCTGATGAACATTCAAAAGGAGAACATGAAAAATGAAGAATAAATTCCTCCGAAATTGAGAATTGACATTCTTCTTCAAATCGGATGAATAATATGATGTATAATGATATAGAAATATAACTTACCAATATATTCAGCATTGAAATGAAAATTGGAATGTATAGGAGAAGTATACTGGCATAAACTCTGATCTTGATGAGCTTGAAAACTTCCAAAAATAATCATTCATATCAGTGATATGGGAAATATTATCTCTCACACACAGGTTATATGACTTTATTGCAATAAAACCATTTCGGATTTCTGAATCCTCATCAGTAACCATGATGTCCACTTATTCTTACAGCCATTCTTCATGATATACACAATTTTCATCTCTTTCTGTTGAATATTCAGAATGATGTGTGCATATTCATATTTTTATCTGAAGGAGAATGCAAATTCTCAATTTCAGAAGTTTTTATATATTTTTTTAAACTCTCATCGTGTGTTCAATAGATATAATTCAATGTTCGTCGTGGCATATAGCCAGGAAAGTAGTTGTTTTCTATTGAATCAACTGAGAAAGAGTAAATATTCTCATCACATAGATAATGCGAATTCTCAATGTATTGCTTTATATAAATATATATCCATTTTTGTATGTTCATAATTTATCTGAGAATATTCCTTTTCAACACTTTCATACCCATTCAGGGGGTTCAAACTTGAACGATGGAAACTTGTGATTTTTATAGACTTTTTATAGACTAATCGCAGATTCGTGATAGAGTCTCAATTCAGAAATTATTTCCACGCCCTGTATGATGAATGTCTATTTATCATACACCCAAAAGCACTAATATTGGTGTTGAATATCGAACCAATATGTATAGAGCGGATGTTGGGGAAATATTGTTTTTAAATAGTGGGCCAATGAATCAATGTGAACATTCTGGGATCTTGGTGCTATGTTGAATTTAAATCTGGTTTCGATATGCTCTATCAAATGTTGAGTTCATATTCGATGTTCGTAGTTCGTACACAAGATTGGACAAAGATAATATGATGTCAACTTATAGAGACCGGTTTCTTATTATTCTCCTTCATGCTAATTCGATATTGTATATATTTGCATACTATATTGGCCAAAATGAGGATGGGATCATTTTGCAATATTACCTTTATGTTATTGATACAATAATAGATCATCATAATGTTTCAAATCCATTTTTGTTTCCTGTATATATTTACTCTTGAGCAGTTTTTAAACTTTTTGACCTACCCTGTATGCTGTTTGACTTGCAATCATTCTAAGTGCACCTTGAATGATTACCGAACATGCACCAACTTTCGGCACTATCTGTATTTTGGTTGTGCAATTCATGAAGAAGGTTCCCATATGTTGCACACTTAAATGACCACACTGTATAACGGTTTCGAGAGGGAATTTTGATAGAGAGTTGAAGTAATCACTGTACGTAGACCTCCACGTAGACGTTAACGTACGAAAAATAACGGTTACGTATTGTCGTTAAATTGAGTTGAAGTCGCCACTTTGGTCCACTGTCATCATAACGTAATAATACATTTTGTTTTCGGTTTGTATTGGTCATTTTTGGTTGTGTGTTTAGATTCGAACATTTATTCCTGTCAAAATCAGAGGACTCCTTGATGCAGAACTCGTTGGTGATCCTGAATTTGATAATTTTGACTCATCGGCATATTTCGAGTATAGTTTGGTTAACGTACGTTGATATTTAAGGTATACGTGAAGGAACGTGAGATAACGTACACCCGTAAGCCCACTAACAACGCAAACGTGAAGAATTGGAAAATGCGCATGCGTAGCTGTCAATTTCTACGTTTACGTTAACGTTCATGACAACACTTCAACTCTCTAATATGAGCTGTGACATCTTGTAGCTAATGATGAAACTGATGATATTATTTGGCTACCAGGTAACGGGATGCCCTGCAACATTTGCCCTCCCGCTTTCCCGCGTCGTTCCCCCAGCCCCGACGCTGTCAAGAGGCCCGTCTGCGTCATCATGAAGAACGACGAGTTCAGGAACAGCGAGGCGCTGCCGGCGCACGTCATATGAAAGCCGCTTCCGGTTCTGCCGGACCAACGGCTGAACCTGATGGGCACGTGGTTTAGTGATATCGCCAATCTGGCAACGTCGAGTACGGCGGTTAGTGCTGCTGCTGCTGCTGCTAGCTCGGCGGAGGAGTACAGGGATAGTAGGTCGAGGGACAGCAGCAGTCCGTGTGATATGAGTGTGACGAATATGGGATTCGATAATTGAACACAGTGACATTATTAGCTCATCGATAGACGTCCATATAGTAACTCGAGAGTTGTCATCACATCTTGTCCTTTATTGCATCTCTATCACTGTCTGATGATATCATAGATGAGCTGTTATTGCTCCTACTGCTATCACTTCGCGGAGTTTTGGGGATAGTAGGTCGAGGGACAGCAACAGTCCGTGTGATATGAGTGTGACGAATATGGGACTCGATAATTGAACACAAGGACATTATTAGCTCATCGATAGACGTCCATATAGTAACTCGAGAGTTGTCATCACATCTTGTCCTTTATTACATCTCTATCACTGTCTGGTAATATCATGGATGAGCTGTTATTGCTACTGCTGCTAGTACTGCGCGGAGTTTTAGGGATAGTAGGTCGAGGGACAGCAGCAGTCCGTGTGATATGAGTGTGACGAATATGGGACTCGACAATTGAACACAGTGACATTATTAGCTCATCGATAGACGTCCATATAGTAACTCGAGAGTAGTCATCACATCTTGTCCTTTATTACATCTTCATCACTGTCTGACAATATCATGGATGAGCTGTAATTGCTACTACTGCTAGTACTGCGCGAAGTTTCAGGGATAGTAGGTCGAGGGACAGTAACAGTCCGTGTGATATGAGTGTGACAAATATGGGATTCGATAATTGAACACAGTGACATTACTAGCTCATCGATAGACGTCCATATAGTAACTCGAGAGTTGTCATCACATCTTGTCCTTTATTATATCTCTATCACTGTCTGGTGATATCATGAATGAGCTGTAATTGCTACTACTGCTAGTACTGCGCGGAGTTTTAGGGATAGTAGGTCGAGGGACAGCAACAGTCCGTGTGATATGAGTGTGACAAATATGGGATTTGATAATTGAACACAGTGGCATTATAAGCTCATCGATATACGTCCATATATAGTAACACGAGATGGAAGTAGCAACTTTTTGTATTTATCATCACATCTTGTCCTTCATTACATATCTATCACTGTCTGGTAATATCATGGATGAGCTGTAATTGCTACTACTGCTAGTACTGCACGGAGTTTTAGGGATAGTAGGTCGAGGGACAGCAACAGTCCGTGTGATATGAGTGTGACTAATATGGGATTTGATAATTGAACACAGTGGCATTATACGTTCATCGATAGACGTCCATAAAGTAACTCGAGATGGAAGTAGTCAGCAAAATTTTGTATTTTTCATTGCATCTTGTCCTTTATTACATCTCTGTTACTGTCTGATGATATCATGGATGAGCTGTAATTGCTACTACTGCTAGATCTGCGCAGAGTATTAGAGATAGTAGGTCAAGGGACATAGCAGCAGTCCGTGTGATATATGAGTGTAACGATAATTGAGCACAAAGACATCATTATAGCTCATCGTATATAGGGATAGTATTCGATAAACAACAGCAGTCCTTGATGTGACATGAGTGTAACTGATAGGGGGTTCAATAATTGAGCACTGAGACATCTTCAGATCATTTGGTTGAACTGATTTATAATCTAATCACCGACAGACGTGCATTGTAACTCATTGTGGAAGTAGCCAACAACTTCTTGTATTTTGTATCGGATCTTGTTCTTCATTACTTCCCTTATACATATTTTCTATGTAGATCACTGCCTGGTGATATCATATGGATGAGCTGTAAATGCTAGTGCTAATGCTAGTTTGGCGCGGATTATTAGCGATAGTAGGTCGAGGGACTGCAGAAGTCCGTGTGATATATGAGGTAACGAATGGGGGATATGAGTGTAACTGATAGGGGGTTAAATAATTGAGCACTGAGACATCTTCAGTTCGTTTGGTTGAACTGATTTATCACCTAATCACCGATAGACATCCATTGTAACTCAATATGGAAGTAGGCAACAACTCTTCGTATTTTGTATCGGATCTTGTTCTTCATTACTTCTCTAATACATCTTTTCTAGATCACTGCCTGGTTATATCATATGGATGAGCTGTAAATGCTAGTGCTAATGCTAGTTTTGCGCGGAGTATTAGGGATAGTAGGTTAGGGGACAGCAGCAGTCCGTGTGATATGAGTGTGACGAATGATAGATTCGATAATTGAGCACAAAACATTATGGTTGGAGGTTGAACTGTATCACCGAATCATTGATAGACGTCTTTGGTAACTCAAGGTGGGAGAAGAAAACATTGTCAAAGTCCTTTACAACTTTTGTATTTTGAAATACAAATGTTGTTCTTTATTATTTCACTGATACATATTGTCTGAATCACTGTCTATGGATGAGTTGCAATTGCTTCTTCTCGTCCGTGTCATGACTGTGAAGAATGGAGGATAATTGGACGATAATTGAGAGCTAATTAACTCATTCGGTTGAACTTATGCTAAAGAAGTCCGTTTTAACTCGACGTAGAGTAGTGGCAGATATAAGGAAGGACAACACCCTCAATGTCCTCTACAAGATTTTCACTGCTACTTACTCTACGTGGAGTTTTAGGGATAGTGTTGGTTGAGGGACAGCAGCAGTTTATGTGATATGATTGTGTAACGAACGATTATTGAGCACACAGACCCTATCAGCTCATTTGGTTGTACTATTGTATGACCTAATCATCAATAGACGTCCATTGTAACAACTTTTTGTATCTTGCATCAGATCTTGTCCTTTATTACTTCCCTGATACATTATTTTTCTGAATCACTGTCTCAAAATATCATGGATGAGCTGCTGCTAACTTTGAGGGGAATTTTAGGGGATGGCAGCAGACAGTCGAGAGATAGCAGCAGCTCATTCATATGTGTCACCTAATCATATAGAGAGTCATCCATTGTAAATCAAGGTGGAGAAGTAGCAGATGAGTAAGGAAAATATTCACAATGTCCTCAACAACTTTTCGTATTTTGCATCACTATAAATGTCTGGTGGAAGTGAGATGAAATAAAATCATGGAAAAATTAACCTCGTAATGTTCAAATCAGAGAGTATATGTACCAAATGGTATTTATGATTCGATTCCCAACATTTTTCGGTAGGAAAAATCATATTCAGTTTTTCTCGAGATCTTAAGTAGGTGAACAAAAAGAGATCTGCATGATGCAATTCACAAAAATGTTCAAAAACAAAGTGGGTTCTAAATGTATATGAGGAACCTGTACATATCCGTTTCTTTAGGAGGGTTAGTGCAATTTCTGTTCAACTTGCGCTTGATTGGTTGTCATTTATGTTACACGGTTTTTCCATTATTTGTACAAAGTTTTTAGTCATTGTTATATGAATTTGATGTGAATATCATTATGTGAATAATTGCCAGTGAATTTGTTATTTCAATTATTATTATTTTTATTATTATTATTACGTCTTTCCAAAAGTTTCTAGGATAAATGTAAAATATTGTTATTAGTAAGAATGTTGTTTTAATTTACCCATTTCCTACGACATAGATTGCTTCAAATAGGAGCAAATTGAATAGAGAGTTTTCCAAATGAGTTTGTGCGATTTCAACATACAATTAACTTTTGAGATAACTTTATATTATAGTGTTACTGTCCTGTATACAGTTTGCATTGTCTAAAATTGATGGATGCAGGTTTTAGACCACGCACTATATTTTGTTAGCAATTAAAAAATGTTCGGGTATCTTCAAAGCATATTTCCTAAGATTTGAGTTAATTTTCATATTTTGGCGAAAGAACCACGATTCATACGCCAAAATAAGGGGGAGGGCTGATTCGCCAAAATATGGAACTCTCACCAAGACATGAAAATTAGATGAGAAAATGATATTTATTCACGAGACAAGTGCAGAAACCACTGTACTTTTTAGACGAGTAGAAAAAATTCCATGATGAGCTATAGGGAAATCCTGGGAGTCCACGAGTCCAAATAAACATTTTCTGGGCGTATTGTGTACACAACATTATTTTCTGAGTCGTCCATTTTCATTCCGAAATTAACTAAATTAACTAACTTAATAAATGTCTGGTGGAAGTGAGATGAAATAAAATCATGGAAAAATTAACCTCGTAATTCATATCTTGAAGGTTTGCCAACAGTGAAAAATGTTCAAATCAAAGAGTATATGTACCAAATGGTATTTATGATTCGATACCCTCCAACATTTTTCGGTAGGAAAAATCATATTCAGTTTTTCTCTTTATATTATAGTGTTACTGTCCTGTATACAGTTTGCATTGTCTAAAATTAAGGAATGCAGGTTTTAGACCATGCACTATATTTTGTTAGCAATTAAAAAATGTTCGGGTATCTTCAAAGCATATTTCCTAAGATTTATGAGTTAATTTTCATATTTTGGCGAAAGAACCACGATTCATACGCCAAAATAAGGAGGAGGGCTGATTCGCCAAAATAAGAGAACTCTCACCAAGACATGAAAATGAGATGAGAAAATGAAATTTATTTACGAGACAAGTGCAGAAACCACTGTACACTGTGTCCCATTTTGGTTGAGACTGCACTGTTTCTCAGCTGTTATTGAAGATAGGGACATGCGGTTTTCGCGACCCTGTATCAATTTTTTGTAAAACTTTCAAAGTCACAAACAGAAATATTCCAACTACTTTTGTTCCTGAAATACAGGGCGAAAACGGAAATGTTCACTTTTGGAGATGTTAATGTTCCTCAGGCCCTGTATAAGATGGAAAAAATATTAAAACTGCTTATAATAGATGTTTTTACAGTCAGTGGCGTATTCTGAATTTTTTTCAAGAAACCGCATGTCTCTATCTTCAATAATAGCTGAAATACAGTTCAGTCTCAACCAAAATGGGACACAGTGT